GCTGCTGCTGCTGCTCCTCCTCCTCCTCCTCCTCCTCCTCCTCCTCCTCCTCCTCCCTCTCCTCCCCTCCCTCCCATCTCCCTCCCTCCTGCCTCCTCCCTCGTCCTCCATCTTCCCTCTCCTCCTACTCTCTCTCGTCCCCCTGCCTCCTCGCCTCCTTGCCTCCCTGCCTCCTCCCACCTGCTCCTGCTCCTGCCGCTCCCGCGGCTCCCGCTCCTGCTCCTCTCCCCTCCCTGCCCTCGCGCCTGGGTCCGAGGGATCGGAGGGCCGCCGCCCAGGTCGGAGGGAGTGTGCTTGGGGAGTCCAAGGGAGGGAGGGAGGGAGTCCCGGGAGGGAGGGAGGGAGGGAGGGAGGGAGGTGGGAGGGAGGTAGGGGGGAGGAGGGATGGAGTCCAGGGTAGGGAGGGAGAGGGAGGGAAGTGGCTCCGGGTATGTCTATGTGTTTGTCGGAGGGAGTGTGCTTGGGAGGGAGGGAGGGTTCATATCCCCAGCCCCAGACTTCCGGCGGAGATTTCGTCGCGTCATCCGCGGCGTAACTCATACATCTCGGTGTCCAGGGCCCGTCTCCGGGGCCCCAGGACCATCCTCGAACATTGATCCAGGACGAGAATTCCCCCCCCCCCCTGGGGAAGGGGCCGAGACTTCTGGGGCCCGCAGACTGACAAATGGTCCCCACGGCGTCTCCGCGCCCGTTTCGGCACACCCTCACGCGGATCGTGCCCCACAGGGAGCTCCACCTCTCCACCTACGGCCCCTGTGGGTCTGGCGCGCATGCCGCCCCAGGTCCCTTTCAGCACTACGCTCGCGCGCATCGTGCCCCACGGGGAACTCCCTCTCACACGGTCCGTGCCCCGTAGTGAGATCAGCGCCCTTCTGCGTGCTTGCTCCAGACGCCCCTGTCCGCACTGCCCGAACTCCATGCCTCCCGTGGAGCGCAGTATATCAGGAGAGGGCCAGGCCCTGCACCGCACTCAACGGCACAGGCCCACTGTGGCACGCCCCTCACGCGTTCCGATCCCCTGAGGAAGTTTTGCCTCCAGCCTCAGAAGCAGGCTCAGATGCAGGACTCGCATGCCGCCGCCCCGCCCATTTCGGCACACCGCTCCCGCGTTTCATGGAGTCATGGCCCACATGCCGCCCCTCGACCATGTCGGCACACCGCTTACACGAACCGTACACCAGCTGACTGTGCAAAGTTTCCACCACCCACAGCAACAAAAACACACAGTAACATGTAGCAGCACCGACAACACTAGCACAACTCACCGACCATCCACCACCATCAATAGTAGCAGCAAAATACCGACAACACCGACTCAGCCCTCACCAACGCCGACCACCACTGACCAACAACATCACCAACACCAACGAGCAGCACTGACCACCAGCGGCCAACAGCATCGACCACCGCAGACCACCACCGACCACCAAAAAGCACCGACAATCAACATTGACCACAGCACACGCACCGACTACCAGCACTGACCATCAGCAGGCAACACCGACCACAAACTGAATCCTAAACCTCGTCTTCATCATGTTCTATTTACCTCAGTTCGTGTACCAGTTCACCCGCACTTTCTGTTTGTGCCGGTCCGTGCACTGTTCCGCCCACTTTTCCTCTCTCTACGGGCACGGGCCTATTTTGTGTATCATTCCCGCCCAACACCTCCTGCAACCCTTGGGCGCGGAACTTCTGAGGCTGCGGAATCCCGCCCCACACTAAACGGCACGGACACTGCAGTGCCAGGTACTGCGCCGCTCCGCCTCCGTTCGTTCGCTCCGCTCCCCCCCCTCCTTCCCCCTCCATTTCCATCCTCCTCTCCTCCTCCCCCTCCCCTCCTCCCCTCCCTTGTCCCATTCCCTCCTCTCCCCCGTCCCCTCTCCTTTCCCTCGCCCCCTCTCCTCCCCCTCCCCCTCCTCCTCCCCTCCTCGCCTTTCCGTCCTCCTCCCCCTCCCCCTCCCCCTTTTTCTCCCCCTCCCCTCCCCCTCCCCTCCTCTTTCCCTCCTCCCCCCCTCGTCCCTCCAGGGGGCTCGCGGGGCCACGCTGCGCCGCACGTCGTCGGGGCCGGCGTCCGCGTGCGCGCAGGCCCGCGGTGGGGCGGGGCGACGCGGCGCGACGTTGAAGAGGAGGAGGAGGAGGAGGAGGAGGAGGAGGAGGAGGAGGAGGAGGAGGAGGAGGAGGAGGGGAGCAGGTCCGTAACCATTTTGGCTCAAGTCAGTAGTGTTTCGCTCAGGACGAGAGTTTTGGCACAGGGGGGACAGCGGCCCCTACCAGCTTTCAGTTTGGTACAGTACTGGGGCATCAGCCCCCGCTCTTTGCTGTACAATTTCTCACAGACAATGCCAGGTTGGGGCTGTCGCTCCTGCAACCTGTGGAACACTGGCAACCGCGCAAAATGTCACGGATGTGGAGCTTACAACCGACGGCAAGCAGCCCAGTGGTCAGGCCTCTTACTTTAAGGGTAGGTCTTTGGGAGATGTTATAGTATCGGGAGCATAGCTCGCGCGCGCCGATGCCTTTGGCCCAAGGCACGCGCGCCCTATTTGCCCGGACACCGCGAGTGTTCGCTATGTGCTGGAAACATCATTACATCGATCTTATCCTATCTTATCCGTCCACCCCTCATACTGTACCTTCACAGCAGAGCGATGGGCGCTATTTGCCATATTTGAGCTACCAGGCTCACTTTCGACTTGGTAGCGGAGCTGGCCGCACTCTCGTGTGGTCAGCTCTTGCTCTTCTTAGCCTCATTTTCTTCGGCACGATCTTCGTGACCACCTACCACCCTGCGCCACCACTCCCAGTACGTTTACGAGGATCTATCCAAGAACAAGAAGCAACACGAGAGGTACGACGTCTAGACGACCAGACTGGTACCATATACGCTTCATCATTGCGTTACCACCAACCGCTCGGCAACGAGCTAACAGCGCAATACTTGAAGCAGGGGCGGGGGGACCCGCCAGACAGAGCGCCTCGAAGACTCGACAAGGCGCTACCCCAGCGCGACAACGCGCATCATAACCGTCCTTCTCTACACATTCTCGGGCTAGTCGTTTTCGCTATTATATGGTTCGCGCTGGGGGCAGCAATCGGACACATGCGTCGAGGAGAAAACAGCACCGATGGGCAAACACATGGCCCATATTGGGACCCTCAAGGTAATGTACCTTTTCGTGAGTACATCTACGAGGTCAACGCATGGCTCAACGTTACTAGCGGACGTATGACGCCACAGGCCCAAGCGGCCGCAATACAACGCGGCCTAGGTGGCCTAGCGAGGACATTCGCCATGAGGGTACCGCCTGACATTATAAACTATGGTGCTGACATCGATGGGGTCCACACAGACCCAGTGACCTACAACATGTTCCTCCTAAGCATGAAGTTCGAACGCCTGGAAGATGAGCGACAGCTCACTTCCGGCACACAACTCATCGACTTCCACGTGCCTCACGGGGAACGAATCGATGTCATTATAAACTATGGTGCTGACATCGATGGGGTCCACACAGACCCAGTGACCTACATCATGTTCCTCCTAAGCATGAAGTTCGAACGCCTGGAAGATGAGCGACAACTCACTTCCGGCACACAACTCATCGACTTCCACGTGCCTCACGGGGAACGAATCGATGTCACCCTTACCCGATTCGAAATGGCCCGACTTGAGGCACAGTCGGTGGGATTTGACCTTCCCAACTTCCAACTGCTAACCACTATCCTATTCCGCGCCTTAGGCGTCGGCAACCAGCGAGCCATGCAACTCTTACAGCCACTCAATCACCAAATGCCCCGAACACAACAACAGTATGATGAGTTGCTGGAGAGGATGCGTTCGATAGGCCACCTATCTGAACGGTCTCCTGGTAACATAGGATCTGTGTTTGGAAGAGGAAGGGGATCTGGTAGTGGAAATTTCTACACTACCTTGACTACTGAAGCCCAGCCTGGAAACGAGCCCTCAAGCATATGGGCCGATGACCCAGGATAATCCACTGCTTTATTAGCAGGGGATCGATCGCAACCAAGCGGGGCAACCAGCCCTCCTTCTAGAGAACCACAACCACACCGCTCCTTATGGGGGGAATCAAACCCCCTAACCGACGGTGTATCCACCTACTTGGGAGACGAGGATTTCGACTCCGGCACCGATACAGACACTATATCATCAGATGGTGTTGAAGTTCTAGATTGGTCAGATATCATGAATATGGATAACGACAATCGGCGTGCTGAACATTTGTTCTGGTTACTACAACAAGCTAAACCAAGGTGGAGGAGGTTCACGCGAAAACCAGTGCGTCGTGTTAGAAGGAGGATACGGAGAAGTTTTAAGGGAAAAGGTAAAGGTAAGCGAGGTCGTCGGAGGTTGAACGGACGAGGCATCGCGGCATTTCTCCAGAGGCTCTCAGATGAACAACATGATGAGATATTCTTTGGGGGAAAAGGCCGTGGTAAAGGCCGTAGAGGGACCTCAGGAAAAGGCAAAGGCAGGCGGGGAAACCCGCGAGGTAGCGACGGCCAGGTTCTTAAATGCCATGAATGTGGTAGTTCCGATCATCTTGTACGAGATTGTCCAGTGAGGGGAAATGGAAAGGGCAGGTCGACCGAAGTCCATTTTGGCTCAAGTGAACCATCCATTGAGTATCTGAGCCTCCAGGACTTTGAGGCTATGGAGCAGATATTTTTCACTTGGGTTGTTGGCATGGACAACGTCGACGAGCTCGAGGCGTATGGTCATGGATTGTACGCGTACTACCTCGAGTACGTCCGCCGGTTCGTTATGGGCAATAACGAGCTCACTCCCGTGGACACGGTACGCTGGGAAACCAGCCTCTTTCTTTCTTCGACTGGATGTTCGGGAACCCAGGCAACATCATGGCCTACGAGAGTAGCGACGAGGACACCACTATAGAGGCTTCGCCTTCCGAGGTTCAACGACACCTCGAACCTCCGCCCGAAATCCCGCCTGGAAACAGGCCGTCTTTGATGGGAGAATATCCCCAGACCACTGAAGACTTAATTGAAATGGAGTCTCAGGCATTTGTTCAGGCCTTCATTGCAGGCGAACCAGATACTCCGTTTATACCTCCTGGTTCGCTTGCTCCAGGCGAATATGGACCACGCACCCTTTTGCAGACCCTCATGAGGATGCATGAGATACTTATTACTGGTTATCCTGAGAGTCAAGAACATATCGAAGCTGACATTATGATAGAACAGGATACTGATGCTTGTGGTAGCTCAGAGCTGTTGTTGGCAGCTCTGACTCTCATTGACAGCGTGCATCCTCAGGACGTGCAGAGACACTTGATATACTCCCGTGGTAGATGGCGTAATGCTCTAGAAATGGCTATTGCTATGCGCGGTCATGATCTTCCTCCGCCAGGATGGGGTCTCCAGGCGGTGGGAATGTGGCCAAACCATACGGCCATGCGCAATATTGCCGGGCAGCCTGTGCTCGGCAACGAGCCTGAGCCGACAACAGCGCCTCCTACCCCGGGACAGCCGAGCGACGCACAGACGCCGGCTATGCAGGGAAACCTGCCTGTACCAGATACGCCAATGGCCATCATCATAGGTAGTTCGACATCAGAAGAAGTTGAAGGCGATGGTTGCGGGTTAGATGAGGATGACGTCACCATCCTCATGATGGACGTGAATGGTGAGGAAGAGGTTGACTTCGATCCTGATGAGTCTGAATCATCATCACCATCGGCACAAGCGCCATTTGCGCCGAGCTCCATCCAGCAGGGAGACCTGCCTCCATCGGACGATCCATCTGGGATCGCACAGGAGCCTCCTCAGGCACCTCCACCGGGTGCCGCTCCTGCTGCTTCGGCAGCTTCTTCTGATGAGAACACCAGAAGGTCTCGTTCCCATACGCGCGTCAGAGAAGAGCCACATCCACAGGCTCGACTTCCTCGTGAGTGGAGGCAGGCTGGCCCAAAAGAACACGCTCTTAGGAGAGGTGGCCAGCTACTTCCGTACAACGACCCAAGACGCCGAAAAGGGGAACACTCGGCCTTCGGCAAGGGCAACCCTGCCTATAGGGGCAGTGATGGCAAGGCCATCCGCGGAGGCTATCAGATTGCAACAAGTATCCGCCGCCCTGAAATTCAAGAAGCGCGGACTCAGCTGCGAGACATTATCGCGGCGCGCAAGCAGTATAGGCCTCACGCAGCATGCGGACCTTGTTCCGAGCCGTTCCAGAACCACAGGCCAGGATGCCCCGTTGGCAACAACGAAGGCCTGAGCCCCAACAGGGGCAAAACCCCTCATAAAGAGGGCCATCCGCAACTTATCCCGATGACACAGGACGAGATCGCAGAAGTGAATCGTCGTCTCGGGATCTTGAGCCACCTGGATCCGAAAGAAGAAGAGAAGCCTACTCCTGTTCCAAGGGGACTGGTAGCCACGACCCAGGAAGAAAAAGACGCGCTCTTTAGTCTTCCTAGTATGCGAGGAAACTCGCCTGGCGTCTCTAGCGAGTCCCAACAACCAGAACCGACAATCAAGGGCGAGAAAAAGGCTCAACGTGTGGCGGAGGACGAGGAGCGTATGCGGACAGCAGAAGAACGCACTCGCGAGGCAACTCGCAAGATGTTGGAGGATTCTAGTAAGATCTACATGAAGGGGGCTACGAAGCCCCCACTCCCACTAACTTCGAAGGCTAAGAGTGAACCCCCGACACCTAAGCCGTCCTCGGTGCCGAAACCGAAGACGAGCCCTCAGGACCCTGGGCCAGACGTGCAGATGGGAGAGAGCGTGATCCACCGCCGCTTTACTGTGGAAAATTGCCAACCTTTTCCTCCGGAACCCGGGGGTCGCCCCCCCCCCCCCTCCGAAATCCCACCCCCCCCCCTGGTGGAACCTCCCCCCCCCCCCCCCCCCCCCCGGAACCCAACCCTCCCCCCCCCCCCCCCCCCCCTCCTCCCGGCAAACCCCCCCTCCCACCCCTCCCCCCCCCCCCCCCCCCCCCGGATCCGGAAAAACCGGGGGGGTCACTACCGGTTAGAACCCCCCCCCCCCCCCCCCCTCCCCCCCCCGCGCCCCCCCCCCCCCCCCCCCCCCCCCCCCCC